TTAGTAGTTTATTTTCTTACTACCTGTAATTTATTGCAGATTACTTGTATTTGCTTAATTGTTTACTAAATGTTTGAGGTGTGAAATAAACCGCAATGGAGCAAAATATGGGTGTGTGTGGTTGGAGGATGTGTTCGTGCGTGCGCGTGAGGGGGGCGCGAACATTTTTCTTGTAAAACAAGGGGGGCCCAGCAAAAAAGGTTTGGGAACCACTGGGATATGGGTCGCATAGGGTCAGAAAAGTCAGATTTAATGCGCTTTCGCCTGCAGTGTGAACGTAGCCTTAGACTGTAAAGCTTATGGGAAAGTTGATCTCCGAGCAACAGGGACCTGTGAAGAGAGCTTATGTCAGGTCTGTTTGAAAAGAATAAGCACAAACATGTTTACCTGGAAGGTGAAGTGGATAAAGGAGTACACTGTCCTCCCATTGGCAGCTGGGGCGGGGAGCGCAGTGCACATGCCGCACAACACGGCCACCTCGTTCAACTTCAGGCCGTACTCCCTCAAATCGTCTTCATAGAACACGCTGGTATCCTTCTCCAGCATTTTCAAGGCCATCCTTCCCAACTGTACCACCAGGTTTTTATCATCAGTGGACCATTTCTGAGTGCAAAGAGCACAAGAAGATAAAAACAAAGCTCTGACACCAAACATAAGCTTTGCAGTTCCAGGGCGAATGCCTGTTCATTGGTCTTAATGGAAATAAACTGGGATTTGACTGTGTTTGATTTTTTGCTCCTTTAAAGCTGGGCCACATCTGGACTTTTCTGTTTCAACAGCTCTTCTTTTCACAGCAGCTGCGATGTCATCCATTCTGCTGCTTTGGGACTGCAGCGTACACCCGACAGTCATACATTAACACTCAGTCACCGACAATATAGACAGTATATGACCCCAGCACAGTTTCAAATGCCAGTCTGCATCCATGTGCTGCACAGAAACAAGCCCAGCATCAAAGTCATACTAAGGCTGTAACTTGACCAGTTTAAAAACAAAGACAGTATATAAAAGATGGATGCATCCTCTGTGACATCACTTCAGAAACTCGTGTAATACACGCTGTGGACAAAGCCGCTCTTTTTCTCCTAAAGCTAGCAAACTAGAGCAGCAGTAGTCTGCAGCAGGACTGGAAGCTGTTTGGAAATTAAACACAGACACGTTACCAGCTCATTTTCCCTCCTGTCATAGTAAAACTGCAGCCTGCGATTCATCTGGACCATCAAAATGTTGACGTAGAACGGCGTCAGTCTGGGAGGATCCTTCCCGTAGCCCCGGTAACGGTAGCAACGCTCGAACACCGTGGCCACCATCCAGCACACAAACGGGTGGCGAGCGGCCATGACAAGTGTGGGGAGGCGCTTAAAATGAGACAAGATCTTTGCTCCCAGATCCGTATCGCTCTGCCAGCGTTTCTTCAGGTAGGACTCTTTCATGTCATCGCTGCGGACAAAGGGGGCAAACGGATTAACTCACAGCACTGAAACTAAATCACGTGCACACACAGATGTCAGAAAGAATCAGCCGCCATACTTGAAGCCCTGGATTTCTGTGACTGCATCGATGAACTTGGAAGGTATCTGTGAGACAGCCCCCCGTCTGCCTAGGATCCAGAGGCGGGCGCCGCGGAGCACAGTACCTCTGATGATGTTTACTACCAGGACGTCAGGATGTGCCGGAGTTTCGTTGTCATGTATGACTGGAGCATTCTGGAGACAGAAAAAGGAAACAGACAGAAATACGTCTGATTGAGTCAGCCACTTATCTTAGCAGCCAGGTTTATTCCTGC